ATCAAGCCTTACTTCATAGTATTAAGCATAGTTAATAAGGAGAAAACATAAACAGTGGTTATAAATAGTGTCGCAGACAGAGCTTCCAGGCTGTGTGCTGATTTAATCAACGGATGCCAACAGGGTTTCTTCTTGTCAGAAATGCCGTCAAGTAGAATGGACCTCGGCCAACAGTTCATTTCTCCGTCTCATTTTCCTGTGCAAACAATGAAGAGCTGGACTAGATGATCCACAGGCATGCCTAGCTCTTATAGTCCAAGGGTCTGACATCCGGTCTCTCCTGAGGCTCATCGTTTTTGCCCTTCAGCCCCCACGGCATCCTCCACCCCTGCTGTGGGTGCCTCCGCAGGTATCCGTCCAACACACACGTGAATGGCCTCTTTTGTCCTCACGGTTGTGGGGTGGGCTCCCGGCAGCCATGTTGTGACTGAGGGGTGTGATCCTGCCCCTCAGACTGGTTCAGGAACGGGCGGCTGACCGAGGCTGGGCCAATTCGAGACCCTGCCCTGGGAATCAAGACTTGACCCGAGGCAGATGAGGCTCAGTCAAAGCTGAGCCCAAAGCTGTGGCACAGCTCCCCGGCCATTCATTCGACGAATCCCGAGCACCTACGGAATGCCGGCCTCTGTTCTTCTGCGTCTTCTGCCGGCCAGGGCGAGTCTCAAAGAACTGTCTGGTTTCCAGGGGCTTCCCTGATGTCAGTCCCAACCCTTCCTGAGGCCCACCACATTGCTGCCTTGAGTTCCCTGAGACACTCCTTGGTCTTCACAATAAATGATCCCCAGTAAATGATTCCATCAAACGTCTTCACTTCAACTGGAAGAGTTTCAGTTCTGATCCCCTTTCCACTACCAGCATTTCCGGGCTTGTTGAGCCACTTTTCCTGTGGACCCAAGGCAACAGAGCTCTCATATCAATTCAGAGAAAGGCCCAGAGGCAAGCTCTGGGTCTTCTTCGAGTCTTTTTCACAAATCTTCTCATTTTTTTCCAATTAAGCACGGCCACATAGGAAATGGAACAACAACAACAAAAGCCTTCTTAAAAAACACATGACAGGAGGTAAAAGGGCCTCATGCAGTTTCGTTAGTTAAAACCCACCCTCCTCATGCCAATCCCAACAGAGAAAACATCTTGACAAATCGTGTCCTTTAGTCAAAACAAGTTGGGGGCCAAACACATGGAGTAGATACAAGATATGTTATTTTCAGGAGGCTGAACTCCAGACCGCAAATTCCAGAAATGCATTTTAAGAGTGCTGCCTATTAGACATGCTAGTTTTAAATTAAATTAACGTTGAAGCGAGAGGGGTAAGGTATGTTTCGATTTATGTATTAGATCACTATCAAGCGTTCCCGTAAGGAGATCAAGGTGCTCCGTGCACAAGCGTCATAGAGAAATGCTTGGCTGCTTGACGAATGCCAGGTTCTGACAAAGCCGTTTCTCCCCAGTTTGAGGGTCCCCCTCCCCCCGCAGGCATTGCCCTTTGAAGCCCAGAGCTTTATGTGGCTAAGCACAAGTCTACCCTCCGGTTGAGGAGTGCCTTCGGCTGACTTGAAACACTTTCTCAGGACTGCCTGAAGAATGATCTTGTGGGCATACTCCGTCTTCTCCCCAGCTTGTGGGCCTTCCCTTCCAGGGCCTGACACAGTGGAGAGACAGGGAAGTAGGAGAGGAAAGTTGTGCAGCGTTCTAAGCATTCAGGAAGGTTCGGTTTCGTTTTTGTTTGTTTGGTCGGCTTTGAGATTCTGTTGTTCAAACAAATGATGGCAAACAGGCAGGTCTTCCATTATCCAAGCCTTTCCGGAAGCACTTCTTCTGAAACCAGGTCAGGAGCATGAGTGAGTTTTCTGTCCTCTGGACTGGAGGAAAAACTTGTTACACGTGGCCCAACACTGCCCTGTCAGGCTGGACAGCCAAGTGTAGATGTAGGCTGAATGCAGACTGTGCTTTCCAAAAGGGGCCACAACATATTTTCAAGAGGAAGAGAGTAAGTCCCTTCTCCCTGAACATAGGTGGGTATGTGTGACTGCCTCGACAAACAGAGCATTGTGGAGGGGATGTCGTGCGACTTCTGAGGCTCCTGTCTGGCTCTCTTTCAGGATGCTTGCCCTTGGAATGCAGCCGCCATGCTGTGAGGAAGTTCGGGCCATGGAGAGGAACTGCGTGCCTCGGCTCACCGGCCAGGCTGAGCTACCGGCTGATGGTCCGCGTCAACTTGCTGATCACGTGACTAGGCCATCTTAAAGGTGACTCCTTCTCTGTCGAGCTGTGCACAGAGTGCAGATTCATGCACACAGTCAGTGACCAACAGCATATTAAGTCAATGTGTTGGGATGGCTTCTTACGAAGCAGGAGACGACCAGAACAGGTGGGGTTGGAAGACTTCTCTGGACAGTCTTTATGCAGGGAAGTACACTAAAGCAATGTGGGAACGTCACGGTAACAAGCTGCCGTAGGATGCAAATGAGGGTTTTTGTTTTTTGTTTTTGTTTTTAAATGTTTATTTATTTTTGAGAGAGAAAGCGACAGGGTGTGATTAGAGGAGGGGCAGAGAGAGAGGGAGACGCAGAATCCGAGGCAGGCTCCAGGCTCCGAGCTGTCAGCACAGAGCCCGATGTGGGCCTCGAACTTACAAACTGTGAGATCATGACCTGAGCCGAAGTCAGACTCAACTGACTGAGCCACCCAGGCACCCCCGGAGGATGCACATGAGGTTTTGACTTTAGTAAGGGCAAAATCCAGCAGCCTTGACTTCCCCCTCACAGAGTTTTGGTTTGATGCAGAGAATCTTAGATGCACATCTTGTACCCTCTTCTCTCCACGGGACTTTAAGCAGAGTAGAAGACGCTCTCTTCTGAAGGCTTCCCTCCATCTCAAAGACATAGCTCCTTGGGAAATCACAGTTATTCCTCAAAGCCCACCTGGCTGTTCCTCTTTACATTTTTTCCACTTATTTGATTGAAGCCCTGAACGTGTGAGCCAGAGGTAATTTTCCCTTTCAGGTTCTACGGTGTGGTTGGAAGCCATTGAAGCCCGTGTAGAAACAGAACAAAAGGACCCTCCCTTGGGGTGCCAGGGTGAGGAGGGCTTTGTGGCCAGCCCACTGAGACTCTTCCCGCCCCCTGCAGACAGATGACATCCCCTGGCAACTGACAGCAGAGGCCTGGCAGCTGGTGGTGTGGAATGGATTCTGACAGCTGCCGAGAAAACACGAATTCCCCCTTTTTCTGAAATCCATTACTTGGAAACCTCCTTTTGAGATCCGTCTCAAGGGGCCAGAGCATTTCTTCACGGGCCCTAACTCCAGGGATATGAATGGAGAGAAACAGAGCAGCCCAGGACGGCTCCAAACACCTTCCCAGGCCAAATCCTTAGGACAGTGAAGCTTCTGATTTCAGGAAGAGCTGCAGAAAACACTCTGCAGAGTTTAAAAGGGTAATTTAAAAACGTGATGTGTCACAGTTTATGAAACAGTAATGGAAAACGCAAGTGGCTGGTCTCTCCCAAGGGAGGCTCTCTGTTGGCCTGACAGTTGCAAAGCCCATTAGCATATTAAAGGCACTGTGCCTTCCGAAGCAATTTAATTTGTTGTCTCACTCTGTGTTCCCCAAACATATTTGGTCACAGGATCCTTTTGCTAAGAAACAGTTGTTTCTATGGAACATCGCTGGACAAGAGCGAGTTGGAAGGCCTCCTCTGGCCTGTACCATGCCACTGGGCAATCTGGAAACACGTATGGTGAGCAGGGTGCAGACGGGTTGGAGCCTTCACTATGCCCTTGGCCAACCACGAACATGAACGCTGCAGCCCGTCGGGCCATCCTCAGACCTCACTCACCAGGGCCTGAAAGTCCACACGTGTTATTTCAGCCTCTCCTCAGGGCCAAGTCCAAGCTTGTGAATGAAGGAAGAGGGTGCTCGACGGGAGGAGGTTTCGGAGACCAGGCCTAGCCTGGAAGTTTCTCCACAAACTGGCCATCCTGAAGGGTTACTGGACAACCTTGGACTTACATTCAACACGGGAGCCCCCGAACATGTTCCAGAAGCTGATCTGTAATATGTTATTTAAAAAAAAAAAAAAAAAAAGAAAGAAGGGAAAATCCACCAGCCATGGGTGCAGCAGACACAGCTGATAACTGGGGGGCAGCAGGAAGGAGACCCGGGCGGCCCCTCCAGCCTGTTTACTGCTTTGTCTAGAGTCTGATTGTCTGGCTTCTGTCCTCCGGCTTTTAGAGTAGACCAGTTTTCCTCGCACATGCATTTATTGAACTCTGAAAAGGCCAGATCTTCTATGTAGATTAATTCATGATTTCAAAGACGCTTTGAAGTAGGCAAAACATTCTGTTATTTCCAAGAGTTATTACAACTGAAATCCTGGTGTAGACTGGGAGGCCAGCCTGTAATCTTGTTTAGATCCTTTTAAATTTAGAAACTTTATAGTAAGTTAAAAATAGGTCTCATTGGTGTACTTTCCATCCTTTTATCCCCATGGCAAAGGCAGTTCAGTCATTTTTGGCCTGCCCTTGATATTAGCCAGAGAAAGTCTAGCACTTGCCACCTGGGAGTCTGCTGGGCTAAGACAAAAGTCATTTTCAAATGGATTTTGGGGTGATGCTAGTCATATGACCGAGCAGAGTTATTCTTTATCCTACCTAAGTTCTGGAATTAAGAGCAATAGACCATCGGTAAGACCTGTGACTAGTATATGGATTACGTGAAACCGTGGGCCAGGAGGAGAAAAGTTTTCATTAGTGCTATCCTGGAGGGCTTGTATTCTTATTGGAAAAGACCACAGCGCTTAGGTCAAAAGAAGCTGGATGAGGCCGGCAGGTCAGGCTGTTTATAACCAAAGTTAAATAAAGACTGTACCTGATTTCAGAAGAGCCAAAAACACTGGCTGTTATCTTATACGGTCCTCACCAGGGTGAGCAAGGTGCCCGCATTTTCGTGCCCATCAAAGAGAGCAATACAGTCAGGATTACCTCTTCATGGTTACTTTACCTTCATAAACATGCTAAATCCGGTTTTAAGGAGATCCGTGAGGCCTGAAGACATGTGTTCGATATCCACCGGATCTGGCTTCTCAGGATTAAATATTTCCTCCACAACCTGCCTCAGCAATGGCTTATAGGATGCCTGGAAAGACAAAATATTGTGCTGTCAGTGAAAGGGTTTGTTTGGTTTGTCTGGAGCAAAGATAGCTTTATCTGCACCAGATGAAACACAACATGTTTATTTTGACATCAGGCAAGGGCGGTGATTTTGTGTGTATGAAAAGACAATTAGAACAACACTGTTTTGTTTTGTTTTGTTTTTTGGTAACGTTCACCCTGATACTCTGGCACTGTTTTTTTTTTGTTGTTGTTCTTAGCCCTTCCCACAAGCAAGTATCTCTTACCAGAGCTGTAAGCCTCATACAACTAGTTTTTTCATCAGGGTTTAAAGTGACAATGTTACGTACGAAAAACACAGGAAAGCAACGTATTGTCATTTGATACAGACACGACGAGGGTCTCCGGTTTTCCTCGACATCCTCAGACCTATGCCTCCCTGGGCGAGGAACTGGAATGTTTTCTCACGACGTCTCGTCATGAACGCAGCCTCAAGCAATCCCTCCTTCCTCTGTGGAGCTCATCTCCAAGTAGGACTTGGCCAGAAAATGAAGCCAAGGTGCCAAACAGGAATCTGACCAAGGTCAGGGCTTAGACAAAGCAGGCTACATGGCACCATAAGAATTTTGGTAGAATGAAGCTGATGTTGATTTGCCACGGCTCCTACAGTTTGATAAAATGGTGCTCCGACTGTGCACGTTTAGATGACGTTTGGAGGCCTCTGACCAGTGCACTTTTTTTTTCTTTTATACGTTTATTTACTTTTGAGAGGGAGAGAGAGAGAGTGTGTGAGCGCATGAGCGGGGGAGGGGAAGAGAGACAGAGGGAGACACAGAATCTGAAGCA